GATATTTTTTAAAAGCAAGTTTCCTACAGTTTACAACATACATGGTTGCCAATGTGTGGAATAAAATTGAAAAGTATAGATTGTCCTATTATCATGTTCTCAAACTAAAATTTCATCTTTGATCCCAGTGGCGTGCGAGTTGTTCCATTTGGTTCCAGTAACCAAGTTTGTCTTTATCAGTCGTTGTCTATTGACGTTTGTTTCACCTTCAAATAAACAAAACACCTGAAACAGGATGCAATATCAATTTTATGACGGTCACATTATAAAACAAATATAAGCATAAAAAAATAACCAAATAGAAGGAAACAAATTGAAAAAAAAGGTAATTACCAAAAAATTGAGCAAATGTTATAATTGATACATTGTTGTTTAATAGGAGGAAATGAAACAAAAAAAACAAATGTGTGAAGTAGGTGCTATTTGTTAAAGTGAAAATGAGAAGCTAACCTGCATCTATACTGGGAACAAAATATGAGGTCATATGGCCTCCTAAATCCTCTATAGTCCTTGTAAGCATTGAAACATCCCCACAAAAGTGAAAAGAATTATTAGTTAACAAAAGAAATCCAGGTCGTCATTGTAGGAAATTTTAAGTTTGGTTTTTAAATCTTAATCATAAGAGCATTTGATTTAACTTATCGATTTATTATTTATTTTATGCATGATGTTTTAAGGCAATTCTTTTTCTTAAATTATTACCGACTGAAATTGTAAGTAAGTTGTTATGGGTAAAAAGTAAAGATAAAGATTAAAGCATATTGCTATTCTCGCCAACATAAAAAAATCAACAATACCTGTAGGAGTCACCTCCTTAGCAATGTAAATAAACTTCCAACTGGGTGGTTGCCGACTCTTTCCTCTCTCATCGTCTTTTCTTATACTATTTCAAGCTTCAAAATCTGAAATCAAACTAAAATCTATGAGATTATGATTTGTCAACAATGCTTTAGTTGTGATTTTGCAGCAAACATGTTTGGGGATGTGCATTTTGAAAGTGATTCTTTCAAGTTGAAGAAAGCAAATCAAATAATTAGTCTATTGAACCTATAAATAGTTATATGTATTACATTTATCTCAATCATTAGTTTTCTTACATTAACTTTTCATCTCCTTTTATAAATCTGATTATCATGACCCTAAAAATAGCATAGAGTATAATCATTATTACTTTTACCAAAACACGAACATAACTTTACTATAACCTCACAATAATCACTTTAGTATCTTTGATTGTAAGACAAACTTAGTAAGTAGATCTTGATCAAATGCAATTCACTTTCCAAGATATTTGTCATGTACCTCAAGGGCAGTTCCAGTCACATCAGTTGCTACAAAAAGTATATCATTTAGTCTAAGAAAGGTATTAAGTACCAAATTGCCCTTTTACTTGTATTCAGAATTACAATCAAAGTAAAAGAAGAAAGACAACCATGAGAGATGATAAAAATACTAAGAATTTGCAACTGAAAACAACCAAGAAGCAGAAAGTTCACTTGCCTAACTAAAGCAACTATCAAATATTGTTGATGTTGTGTATAATGAGTTGTAATTTCTAAAACACTTTACAATAACATAAATGGGAAAATGACAAAAACCTTTGAGCAGAGAAGGCGAGATGGAGAATCTGGAAATAAACTTTACATTTTCTGGTTCTCATTTCCTGCAAGTTAAAGACAAAAAACTTTCTTGAACCCAATTTCATTGTAAGCCATCAGTATCATATAACAGATTAACAGGTGTTGACAAATGGTCTATGGTCAGCATGACGTTGTTTCATATAAAACCCATGAAAATTGTATAAAGCAAAGATCGTTCAAAGAATTACAATCACATAATATTTAACATAAATTATATAATATATACCTACCTTTTCCGGTTTGCTTGTGGCCAAAGGGTCTTGCGAATTGGCAGTTTTATCAGACCACTAAATAAAAATAAACAACTGAGATTCGTCGATTTCTTTATGCAAATCAATCGAGAGATGAAGAGAGATGTTGGCCAGAGCAGCGGTGATAGCGGTGTATATCATCATCGAGTTCCCGACTTCACCGGAAACGATCGGACGGACCCGAAGAAACGTTTGACGGTTGTTCGATCGGACGGACCACGGTGAGGTACTGTTCATAAGAATCTTGTGATTTCACCGGAGAAAGATGGATCAGATGGGATGGTGGAAAAGTGAAGAAGAAAGAATTTGACATACCTAAATAATAAAAAAAGGGAATGGATTCAATCACTAACCTTCGTTCATACCTCTTCTATTTGGGTGGGTCTACAAAGAAACGTACCCCTTCGCTGCTCCAAATCCGACCTGGAATAATGAAATTAGGGTACCGATGACGGTAAGGTGCGACGGTGGTGGACCGATATGTTTTGTAACGATGAATTCAAAGAAGATATCAAAAGCAGATGGCAGATGGTGGAAGATCCTGTGCAGTTCCATTCGAAAGATGAGGCTGCGCTGCGACCGACCATGGAGAAGACGAATCCGACGTTTTTGGGATGTAAAAGAAAACAGAAGCGGTGGGAAAGCTCTATCTAGATGCAATGGCGGTGGAAGAACATAGAGGGCAGAGAAGGACTGAAGATGAGTAATGTTGAAGCGATGGATCATCAACACTAAACCTCTAGAAACGTCTGAGAGGTGAAGAATCGGGAAGTAAAAAGCGGTCGGATGTTAGGGGAGCGAGGGACGAAACTGTAAATCACCTAAAAACTATGACAAACGTATGTTTATAGTTCAGGGACCATTTATGCCAACATCTTAGGAACTTTAAAGTAATGGAATGGAACACAAACAAAATGACATCAATAAATTAAAGAAGTGACACAACCAATTATAGAGGGACCGGATATGTAAATCAAGGGACGAAATCTGGACAAACTATGTCAATTTAACTGTTCCTTTTCTCCACAAATTTAATATATATATAATAATGGTCTGCAAATTTCTCCAAACCCATAACGTATCAAAAACACATGCCTTGCATGAGCAGCAGATCGGAATAACATCACAAAATTCACGAGTTTCACTTTTTAACATAAACTAATTAATAAATGAATGACCACTTCATAAGATACCAAAGTTTAATTAACAACTCTGAGAACAAAAATTCTCGCATGCATATAGACTCTAGATATTCCTTCATTGCCTGAACCTTATCAACTGATGTATCTTGGTGGTTCTCCATCCACTTGGTCGTGTCTGCAATCACGTGCTCCAGTTCATTCAGCCTCACACCATACGCCATATTTTTGATCTTCTTCTTCATGTTGTATATGCAATCCTCTAAAGCATTGAATGCATTTACTTTCTTCTTGTATTCTTCATCCTCGCGTTTGTAATTCTCAGCATCTTTTATCATTTTCTCAATCTCTTCCTTGGTGAGTCTTCCATTTTCGTTGGTAATCCTGAGTTTACTCATCTTACCTGTTGATAATATCTGCATTGTGACTGTGAGGATACCATTTGCATCTATTTCAAGGCACACATCGAGTTTTGCAACTCCTTTTGGAGCCGGTAGTATTCCAGAAACTTTAAACTCCCCCAACAAATGGTTATCTTTAGATCTTGCTCTTTCACCTTCATACACAATGATATCTGCGAAAATTTGGTTATCATACCCTGGAGAAACAATTTTGGATTTCTTTGTAGGTATCAGAGTGTTCCGTGGGATCACCACGCCAAATATTTTGCCTTCTATTTCTACACCACATATCACTTCTTCTAACCATCATCGTTCACCACCACAATCTCTCCTTAACAACAAAGTCCTCTAGCATATGCCCATGTTCTCTTATCATTTGACCTCCATTTCAAATTTCAAAGCTCTAACCTCAGGTAGCATTTCTGACCCCGATATCTATGGTGTTTTTTGACCTCATGATATTTCTATAAGAGAAGTTTTCCTCTCTGCTATTATGGGATCACATTTAGATTTTGGTCAGGTTTTCTCATAAATCTTTTCATTTCGTCAATGTTCTTGACATGGATAGGGGTATCTTGTTTCAATCTGTTTCCTTATATTGAGGAATTGAACTTCAGTTTTTTTGAGTTAAGGCATTGCACTTCCAAAATCAAGTCTGTTCCGGGTTTAGTGAAGGGCTTGATGATGTATGTTTTTCTAAATTACATTAACCGGAAATAATTAATTTAAAGTGTAATGTTTTTCTAAGTACATAATTAAAATACAACGATTTAATGAGAAAATAAAGTTAAAGCATATAGTTTAGTTAGAAAAAAATAAAATGGTTGTTTGCGTGGATTCGAAAAACCAATATACTAGACCCAAATATGAATATAAGTACATTTTTAGATGATGTGTTGTTTTTAATTTCTTCTTTTAATCGCTTTTAACGGATGCACTATAACACGACTTTGATACAAAGGTGCCTTGCTCTTTAATTCTTTTTAATAATACACCCTGCAATATAAGCAATGTAGTAACTTGCATGTTAGCATCTATAATATGCCAGAAATCCCAAAAATATAACTTACTGTTACTTACAAGTTTGCGTTTTTTTTTAATTTTTAAGAAATCTGTGTTTATTGGTGCTATTATTATGATATATATGGAGGGTATAATGGTCAAAGTAAGAGGTAAAGCAATACAAGCAAGCAAGTTAATAAACTTATATTTTATGACATGATCTCTTTCCAAACTAGCAGGTGAACCAATGTTGAAGGCAATAGAGAATAAAATATACCATATATGGTGGAAATAAAATCTCTGATTCATCTAGGTGCTAGCTACTGGAAAATGTGTTTGCTGATCCAAGAGGCTATGGAATAGGATATGATGGAAGCTATATTTGTTTATATTTTTGAAGGAAATAACAATGTACATTCATCCCCATTCCGAACTTTAACCTTTTGAGTAACATATTAAGCACATTAAATAAATTAAGTCAATTAATGCAATAAACATTGATGTTCCATGATTTTTCAAAGTTTTTTCAATGTTTTTTGGTTTTTCAGTTGTCGTAGATCAAAAGGGTTAAGCCTAAGAGTAATGTGGTATATGATATTGTTTAATTGCTTTAAGTTGTAGTAAAATGCCTTATATGGTGATAAGCATTCCATGTCTTAACATTCTTGTTAATTAATATAATTAACTAATGGAAATAAATAAATCAATTTATTACATTAACCTCTTAAAAGTAAATCGATTCAATTATTCATTAACTAAACAATTATTTTCTTTTGTATTCCGTTTTACATTTTAAATAAAATAGATTCAAATAAAAAAATAGTTTTTACATATAAAATATAAGCCATATATTTATAATAAAAAAATCTTTGAAGTTATAGATAATGACATTAATGTTAATTGCAATATCTTCAAAAGCTTAACTAAAAAATCTATCCTTTTTTAAATAGTAATATAATCAAGCACATCAAACAAATTATACAAATAACAACAGTTTGTTACGACAATAGATAAAAAATACTAATAAAATAATAATGTCGAATATAAATTAATAACTTTATTTTAAAATTAATATAAGTTTTTATGTTGTGAGTTAAAAATATAGCTATATTATTGTTTTCTGTTGAAACTAAAAACAGAGGGGTTGCATTTTTTATATTTTAAATTTTCGAATCTAAAACAAAAAGAATAACATACATTAAAAATATATATTAATTGTAACTTATATTTTTGAGTTAATTTTATAATCGTTAGAGTATTTCAAAAACAAAATGATGGCCAAAGGGAAAATTTCACGATAAAAAAATAATTGAGTTAATTATATGATCTTTAGAGTATTTCAAAAACAAAATGATGGCCAAAGGGAAATTTTCACGAGAAAAAAATAATTATTCGTCGCATTTTATCACTATGTACTCTCGATTTCAAATGTATTAACTGTGATAGACAATCAACTATTTATGCACTTCAAATTACAATGGTCTAAAGGTAAACTATAATAAGAAACTATTCTTCACCCCTCTCTATATAAGCAAACTATTCATCGAAATTAATTAATCACTGTTCAGAAATTATTCGTCGCCGCCGCTTTGCGCGGGTAACAACTAGTATATATATATATATATATATATATATATATATATATATATATATATATATACACACACACACATCAGTAGAAAGAAGAAATTGATCAAAACTAACTTCTAACAAACTTGAGTAATAAAAGACTAAACTACCCTTGTAACTAATTGTAACAGAAAACTAACACTTAAAACTAACACTTGCATGAGCAGCAGATCGAAATACCATTCCAAAATTCATGAGTTGCACAACATGTTTAACATAAACCAATGAAAGAAAGACCACCTTATAAGTTACCCTAGTTGAATTAAGGACCATGATTTGACAACTAAAATTCTCACATGCATATAGACTCTAGATATTCCTTCATTGCCTGAACCTTATCAACAGATGCATCTTGGTGGTTCTCGATCCACTTGGTCGTGTCAGCAATCACGTGCTCCATTTCATTCAACCTCACACCATACGCCATATTTTTGATCTTCGTCTTCATGTTGTATATGCAATCCTCTAAAGCATTGAATGCACTAACTTTCTTATTGTATTCTTCATCCTTGTGTTTGTACTTCTCAGCATCTTTAATCATCTTCTCAATCTCTTCCTTGGAGAGTCTTCCATTTTCGTTGGTAATCCTGAGTTTACTCATCTTACCGGTTGATAATATCTCCACTGTGACTGTGATGATACCATTTGCATCTATTTCAAGGCACACATGGAGTTTTGCAACTCCTTTTGGAGCCGGTGGTATTCCGGAAACTTTCAACATCCCCAATAAATGGTTATCTTTAGATCTAGCTCTTTCACCTTGATACACTTTCATATCCTCGAAAGTTTGGTTGTCAGCGCATGTAACATAAATTTTTGATTTCTTCATAGGTATCTGAGTGTTCCGTGGGATCACCACATCAAATCTTTCCCCTTGTGTTTCTACACCAAGGGACAAAGGAGTGACATCTAATAACACTAAATCTCTACACCTTTTATCACTGTTACTACTTAACTTTGCACCCAAAACTGCTGCGCCATATGCAACAGCCTCATCGGGGTTTAGGCTCTTGTATAACTCCTTCCAGTAGAAAAGTTTCTGCAACATAGATTGGATCTTTGGTATTCTAGTTGAACCACCAACAAGAATCACATCGCTTACCCATGAAATCTCCATCTTTGCATCACTTAAACATGTCTCTAGAGTCTTCATGCACTGATCAAAATAATCCATGTTGAGCTCTTCAAATTTAGCTCGACTGAATTTCATAGAGAAATCAATCCCCTCATGTAAGCAATCTAGCTCGATTGAAGTCTGTGTATCACATGAGAGAATCCTTTTTGCTTTCTCACAAGCACATCTAAGTCTCCCTAATGCTTTTTTGTTCCCTGTCAAGTCTTTTTCCCATTTCCTTTTGAATTCCCGAACACAGTGATCCACCATGCGGTTATCAAAATCCTCGCCTCCCAAATGTGTGTCACCAGCAACGGCTTTCACCTCAAACGTACCCCCTTCCAGTATGGTCAATATAGAGACATCAAAAGTCCCACCACCAAGATCAAACACAAGAACATTCTTCTTTCTCTCTTTAGTTTTGAAGAGCTCTAGACCATAAGCAATTGCAGCTGCTGTAGGCTCATTGATCATGCTAATGATGTTGAGTCCAGCAATGGCTCCAGCATCCTTTGTTGCTTGACGTTGTGAATCATTAAAGTAAGCCGGAACCGTTATCACAGCATCTCTTACAACTTTTCCAAGGTATGACTCAGCAGTTTCTTTCATCTTCCCAAGAATCATGGATGAAATTTCTTCAGCCAAAAATTCCTTCGTTTTTCCTTTGTAGGAGATAACTATCTTTGGTGTGTCGGCTGGACCTTCTACGACCTTAAAAGGCCACAATTTCATGTCATCCTGCACTTTGGAATCACTGAACCTCCGTCCAATCAACCTCTTGGCATCTGAACATACGCAGTTAATTAATACAGCCATTAGCAAAGTGAAATTATGGAAATCAACTATATCAGATTTTAAGACCCTAAACCGGCGATCTAGGAGTAGATTTCTTGGTTGATATTTAAAAACCAAAGTAATATGTAAAAGAATATGCAAAGAAAGAGATGCCAGTCCACGACAGAATGAAAATATACTATAATTGTGCTCACATGCACTAAATTAATGTAATTAAGACTTTCCACCATTCTCAAACAAAAAAGCAGTGTAGTGTTTAAAAAACCCTTGATGAACTTTATAATGGAACAATTGGGGTACGTAACATTGCTTCAAAACTCAAAAGATTAGTTTATAACAAGGATCAAGACTTTGGTGGACTTAAATGTATTAGAGTCCACTGTTGATGATTCTGATCTAGCGGACTGTTTCTTAAATATAGAGTTTCCAAAAAAAAAAAAAAAAAACTCACCAAATATGGTGTTAGCAGGGTTCATAGCCGCTTGGTTCTTGGCGCCATCGCCAATGAAACGTGCTTCATCAACGAAAGCAACACAAGACGGTGTCGTTCTATTGCCTTGATTATTGGGAATGATTTCGATGCGATCATGCTTCCAAACGGCGACACATGAGTAGGTTGTTCCGAGGTCAATGCCGATGGCCGGTACGTCGTCGACTCCCCTTTTCTCCATTTCTCCCAAAATTCTAAATAAATCAATTGTTTGCTTTAACCTGACACCATGACTTATCTATATACTGTTAGAATTCGTATACGTATAGTATTATATTCCATATTTACTTTCCTTATTTACTTCATCATGCAGCCTAAGTTTCGTAGCTAGATAGTTTCCTTATTTACTTTTGTTTTTCTCGTATTTATGTAGTGGTTGTTTCAGTTGGCAATAAGATTATTATCAAGTTTCAAAATTATTATGGTATCAGGCAAGGCTCATAATAAGAAATCGAAATTAAAATAAATCTGGCAGCAATCCTCCGCCACCAACCGGAGAAAAAGCAATCGACATATCTTCACCATATTTACACACATTGGCGGATCACCCCGAGCTCAACTTCGTTGGCGGTAACTGCTAAACGACGGCAACTATAGCGACTGAGTGAACGAGATGACCAACAATTATTTGCTTCAAATAAAATCGGATTCGTTGAGGGTAGGATCCTCATATCGGAAGAAGGATCAAAAGACACCATGAATTGGAAACGATGCAATGCAATGGTTCGAGGTTGGCTCGTTAGCGCAACGGAGAAGGAAATCAAGAATAGTGTAAAATATGCTATCACCACTAAAGATATATGGGACGATTTGAAGGAAAGGTTCGGGAAGAGAATTGAATGCCCCTAGTGCATATCAACTCGGAACATCATCCCTACCTTCTAATTTTCAAAATTAGGATTAAGGGTTACCAAGTTTTATCTATTCAATTTTTAAGACAATTAAAATAATAATTAAGGAAACTATAAACCCTAAGGAAACCCTAAGGCAATTTTCGAAAGCAAAGGGAAGGAGGCTATGTTTCGAGAAACCTAAGCTAAGGTCGAAATTTGCAATAGCAATGGTTTATTTTCGATAAACCCTAATCAAGACCAATTCATCTCATGCACTAGTCAAATTGAAAACAATGGCGTTGATACTATTGATGATTTTTATAGGTTATCAAAAAACATGTAAAGCGGAAAATCTTAACCCTTAAGTACACATACAACCTATAAAGGATCTATGTTTTCTCTAATTGATAACAACATACTATGAATTTCAAAAACCCTAAAGGAACTCTATGAAAATCTAAATTCTTGAATTAGGGTTTACATACCTTTAAATTTATTATAGCAAATAAATCATTTTAATCCCCTATGTTTGTTGGTCTTGGAAAACTAGCACTAAAAGAATGATGCCTCTAATGGCTCACACCCAAAACCAGAATCCTTAGAATGAGGATGAGAGATGAGATATGAGAGAAATTTTGTTCATGTGCGTATAGGTAATGTCATGAACGAAATTTGCAAGCCAAGGGGTACTATTTAAAGCTTAAGTAACTTGTAAGCAAAACAAGATTTGAATGAATTAAATAACATATTTAATCATAATTCAAATAATTTCCTTTTATACAACCAGGAGGCTTCCAGAAACCCTAGGAAACCTCCAAAACCGTCCATACCAAGGAGGGTTCTAGAATTGCTTCTTTTGTTCAACTATTGCACAATTATAATTCGTTCATTGTACCTTTAATTAATTCTAATTAATACTGAATTAATTCCAAAATAATTCTGATTAATAATTAATCAATTCTAATTGATTCAATATTAATTGATTAATCAAATAAATTAACAAATCAATAATTTAACAATTTTTTTTGAACAACAAATCTATTCTACTCCTAAACTGCTCCTAAATCTCTACCTATGTCTCTCATGAGACTTGATCCCATATTAATTTATTAATCAAATAATAAATCAACAAATCAAGTATCTATTTTCAATTAATATATTAATCATATAATATATTAACAAATTATTTGCCCATAGTTTTAAATTAGTTTATTAATAATATAATAATCTAATAAATTGTCCTTATCTCTCCTAATATCATTTCTAGTTGTTTCTGGTCATGAGGGAAACCCAAAAAGGACTTTGTTTTTAATTACAAGTATATATCAATGTAGTTATGAACTTAGACACCTTAATCCAACAAGCATATCATGGTACCTCGTCTTCTTCATCTCCTTATCTGCAGCGTACTGCGAGACCAACAAAGTTCTCTCCCTAAACTTGGTGGTGATCTCTGCCACGGTCTCTGTCATCTGGCGAAGGTCCCAAAACTCCCTCTCCAATTGCTGCACCTCAACAACATGTGCAAAATATACCCTAAACCTTGTCACAAACTGATCCTAAGACATGGCTGCCACAACTTCTGCTCCGAAGGAGTGACCAAGCTCCTCCCATCAGTCGCGGGCTCCATCCCTCAGAAGGTAAAAAAACTACTAGCAATATTGTCCAAGACATGGCTGCCACATTCGATCTCCCAGGGAAAAAACTAGTCTGCTGAGCATTCTCCATGTCAGCAATCCACTGCCTACTAGCAATAGGGTCCTTCTTCTTGAAGAACTTTGGGGATCCACAAGACTTGAACCCCCAAAAAGATAGAGTTCGAGCCCCCAACTGACCCACCGCAATCTCAACACGGAAATCTCGAAGCCGCTCATCCAGTAGCTCCATGATCCTCTCCTTAATACTACCAACATCACAGGAGTCGCATCCAAAATACCACAGGTGAGCTTCGACGAAACGAACTCGCGAATCCTCTCATTAATTGGCTCAGCACCAGAGCCTGAACCTGAACCAGAACCAGAACCTCCTCCATGAGTACTCATCACCACACTGAAAAGAAACCATACAAACATACCCCAAGTGTGACATCCTCAATTTCACGGCCAAAAAAGACGGATTTGTATATGCTTTATTTGAAAATCAAAGTATTTTTTTGAAGAATAATATTGTGGAATTTGTTCCCAAAATATGATAAAAATATTATCAAAGCATTTCCGAAGAAATGTATTTTAATTATATTAAAAACGTTTGGATGTCATCGTCAATACAGTACATAAGCATAAACGGAAAATAACATAGGCCTTACAACATCTATTATTTTACTGACCTATAATCCATAAGTCTCTCATATGTTCATCACATCGGTGATCTTGTGACTCTACCTGTAATACAAGAAATTGATTGGGTTAGGCTTGGGAGCCTGGTGAGCACATAAGGTTTTTAACTGACAATAATTAAGTTCTTTCTTTTTATTAAATCATTCAACCCGATTACTCGTTCCCGTTTTCCTCATTTTCTGTCCCTAAAACATCTAATTTAAGGGACCTAGCCTAAGGATTATCTTCGGGATTGGCAATAATGTTTAGGGGATTTCTCATCAATATATGTCAGTAAGGCAACCATGAGGGGGATGGAGTACACCTGGTGAACACGTCGTTCAAAAACACCTACAGGTTGCGAGCCTGCCAGCGTTCCATTGTACTGTCTAGAATAGTCTGTGGTCGTCATCTATACTCCGCTAGATGGTTGAATCAGCTTTAATGTCAAGGCCTCTCATCATTTATTTCATCTTTCATCATCTATTTCACCTTTCATCTACCCATCTTTACCCAACATACTTATAAGTATAAAATACATATATAGTTTAAATGAAATAAAACGTGTATAAATTGTTCATCCAACATAGATATCAAGAACACGGATAATATGCACATAAAGCATGTAATTTATACTAAATACTTCATATCTATGTGTAAGATGAAAGTAACTATGCACTCGCTTGTTAAAAGTGACGATTCGTAATTTATACTAAATAGTTCATATCTATGTGTATTATTATTACTAAGTTTTAGTCTAATATTTATTGTCACTAATTATTAGTCTAGATTCATCATTAACTCAAATTCTAGTTCATGATCTTGTTGGATTAGGTGTCTAGTGTTGGATTTAGTGTCTAAGCCCATAACTATATCTGGTATGTACTTGACCCGATTGTAGCATGGTCATTTTGGGTTGCCTTCACCAGTGCAATTTGATAGGATGGTTTTATGAGAATAAGGTTATTACGATTAATTAATATATTAGAAGTATAATATATTAATATGATTATTTAATTAGTATTGTCCAAAAATTAATTTGGAATTAATTTTGTGGTCAAAAGAAACTAATTAAATATAGAGGGATTGATTATGCAAATCAATCATACTTATTGTGTGGGCTAATTGATCCATGATAATGTAAGTGGGCTAAACCAATGACATAACCCATGGATAGTCCATGGAGGTTAAACCCATGAATCATAGGAATGTGGAAAGTCATGGGTTATTACGGTTTACCAAGTGTAACCCTAGCACTTACCACAAGTATAAAAAGCCTCCTCCATGCTCAAAATCGGTTGCACCTTCATGGAAACAAGTAACATATTCTCTTAAGACCACCTTTTGCATATTGGTGTTTGTGAACCATTAGAGGCATCACACATGAGGTGCTAAAGCTTTCAAAGGTCAAGAACTCTACCCTACTCAAAAGGTATGTATCCAAACTATGTTTTGATTATGTATGTAGCTACAATTGTATGCTGTCTAGGGTGAATGCTTTGGAAAAAGAAATGCATGTATAATTAGAGAAAACTTATATCCAAAGCATTTAGGGTTGCATGTGCACTTAGGAAGTGTTATAGTGCTCAAAACCCAACGGTGGTATCAGAGCCTAGGATTTCTTTATGTTATATTTGATGCAAATTTGTTTTTCAAAGCTGGAAAATCAACTTTTCTGCATTCTGACAGATGAACTCGCAGAGTCCATGAACAGACTCGACGCGTCCACTCAGAAATGAGTCAACTCGACGAGTCCAATCATGGAACTCGACGAGTTGATGCCCCTGTGTGCAGAAAACTCGAGTTCTTGGCCAGAAATGGATAGAATCATCACCACAAACTGTTTTGTAATCATAAAAATTGTATTTTCTGAATTGGTAATGATAACCTTCGTCCATTTAAAAGGCAATTGTCAAATGTTTAGATAATAAAGTTATTATATGTAGTATTTGATATGAATTGTCTTATTATGAGTTAGTTTAGATCAATATAAAAGTTATATAATAATTGTGTTTGATCCAAAAACTTGATAT